TGACGGCCGATTGCCTTTTTTGGCCACAACACCTGTAACAGCTATCTTGTCGTTAGTTAGATTGCAAATTGTGCGATGGTGAGTAGGTTTTTGGTCATAAAATGTATCAGAGAATAATTATTAAGTGTATTATCAAAACTTGTTCAAGACAGATTATAATAAATGTCTTTTTAGCGTTCTCTATTTCTACTTGAAGTGTTCTCCTCTGCCAAAATGACCAAAATCTCTCTATTCTCACTGAAAGCTAACCACAAACTTTTGAGGTTCTATATTTCGTCGGAGGTATGTGTAGTATGATTAGATCAAATTGTTCAAGCGGATTTTTTATACGTGGGTTGGTTCCTGTGTTGTCCATAATCACGGGTTTCAGAGGCTCAAATATTGGTTACATGGGTGCTGGCCCAAAAAGGAAACTCATAGTCAGGGGGTGGACACGCCCGCTGCGCGGGCTTTGCCCACCCCCAGTGAACGCCGCGGCGCGAGGCCAACAGCTGTAAGTACGTAATTGTCAGGCGGCGCAGTGGGAATAAGACTTAGAACCGACGGGAAGCGAACTGCTTGGCGAACTGCGCAGCAGCAAATCAGGCTCTTGGTTTATTCTGCCACGACATCCATTTCTACGCTCATCCAAACACTTCCACTCATTTTACCTAGTAGTACCCTCCCTCACCAGTTGTTCATTAACGCCTAAACAACCAAGTAAGGACGGAATCTAAGCCTACAAAGGTGATGCGTAAGTGCACACATTGCGTACCACACCACACCCACACTTTGCTCACAGGTCGCGAACTCTCAGCCGCTCGCTAGTCCAAAACATCTACACTGCAGGATGAACGTGAGGCCTTTTCATTGTGCACTGTTGACAGTAGCTTACCATGAACTACCATCAAGGAGCCACCGAACACACATTCCGGCGCTCCCGCGAACAAGGGCAAATCGAGCAAGAAATGCAAGCACTCACAGTCACCTCAAGATAATAGTAAGTCCCATGTACTTTCATTGTCGCCATAAGCTAAGCATACAATAGAGCAGAGAAGCAAGAAACACCGACTATGACGGTGATGACGAAGACGAAGAAGACTCTGTGAGTAAACACTTACTTTATTAACATGGTACTAAAATTGAGTATAGTATGATAAGTCCAAGGTTTTCGACTCGAGGTTCCGTTCATCACCGAGGCCGTTCGCGCAGCTTTCTTCACCCGAAGAATCCGTATAGCTGGTCCGGGTCAGCCCTCTGATTTTGGGTTCAAGTACGCGAAACATCCCCCTGCTCCGGATCGCGATGAGCCCGTCCCACGTGCGTGCACGACCGAGGAAGCGGTAGTGGTTCCATGCAACCCCGTGCGCAAGGTCAGTCTCGCCCGAGAAGACGATGTCCTGCATGCCGCCGCACCGCCGCTTGACGCAGCACTCCTCGGTGGCCTCCTCGCTCGCCTCGCTGCTGTCCGCCATCTCCACATCTGCTTCTTCTCCTGCCGCTTGCCGACGTCCGAGTCCGACGCTCTCATATACCATCTCGATCGTCTGGTCCGCTGCCATGTCCTCATCGCCCGAGCTCATCAACTCGTCCTCCCATTCCCCATCTTGCTCGTCGCCCGCAGGCTGTCCTCCCATGCCCTGGGCCTGGATATACCCTCATCGTGCTCCCGCTCTGTGGTTATGTTGTCCCCGAAGCGCTCCATATATGCACGACACGTCGGCAGTACCACCGCATTATGAATAAAATTTACGAAGCCTGCACGTAAGTTTTGTTATCTCATCTATCTTATTTGTCGTTCATTGTGTGTACTGCAGTGGCTCGTCGACGAAAAGTAGTTCGGTAATACAAGATGCGAAGAGGATTCTCTCAAGTCTATTGGGACCAGATGGCGGATGAGTAACTCTGGTCCTGATACGTTCTCGCGTGTTATAGCTGAAATACTCCGAGTCTCGACGTTCATTAGTTTCACTACCTTACTTTTACATGGATCTTACTAGTATTGCTATCAATACCACATGCTTAATTCGAATCTTTGGAGAGCCCCAATATGCGGAAATCTGGGTTATTAGAACGTAAAACTTATCCAAAATCGAAGAGATTTCAGCAAAATTATCGCAAGTATCAAAGGGGGACTGCAGTGTTTGGTAAACTTTTTTGCTCACCCAACTTATGAGAAATTTACCAAAATTTGACACATTTCGAAAGACTACCGCAAAGATGAGACATTTTATGACAATTACTAGCCCCAGGCTTTTCCTGATGCGCCAGGGCCCTTCTTACGTGGTCCCCTAGCAGGTCGTTATTAAGTAGGTGAGCTCGTGAGCTAAACTTATGGATAGTTGATTCAAGGCGTCGTAGACTGGGGCAAGTATCCGTGGGTCACTGCTACCATCAGCTTTTCGGCCGCATGTTGTGTATGTAAGTTCACGCGTCAGTAGTAGGCTCGTGTGTTTGCCGCTCTTATATCGTTTTCTTTCTTCGCATAATGACTCTGGAAACCGAACTGAATAAGCACGCAACGATGCTGTAGAAATTCGAGGTCGCACGGGCTCGCGACGACGCACAGCGCGTTTGTCCCGGGCAAGAAGAGGGTGCCCGAAGGGCAATCGCGTGAATAATTCAAGTAGCTACGACATGAATATATACCTAAATAAAACTCGGAATCTATATGATAAATCGACACGTCATGATCTGAGCGATAACGAACACAGAATTCCAACAGATGCGCACCGAGGCATTCGCGAAACCACAAACATCTTCACATACTCAAGAATTTGTGAGCTCGTGTGCAGCTGCCCGCCTAGACTTGGTAAGGTTGAGTATCGAAGGTATCAAAGGGCATTACAATACTCCCTCATATTTTGGTGCAGGCACACCAGCGAGGAAGACGTTCTTCAAAATATATCCTTTCACGAGGTATAAGAATTTAAGGGTATTTATTGTCAAGTATATACAAAGAACGCAAAGACCGAGCTAGGCAACGGAGAAAGATGGAATGAGCGACCTTGAGCGACGAAAAGATACCGG